GAATTATGAAGGGATTTAATTCAGTCTTGTCATAAATGACTGAAGTTATATAAACTGAACAGATGTCATTCTAATCAATGAAGTGTTATAAAAATGTCTAACATGTTTTTTTTTTCTTTGTTTCAGACAAAGCTCTCCTTGACAAGGAGACAGACTGAGTTTTATTTGGAAAGCTGTTGGACAGAAACAACTTGACACAGGGTTCATGCAGATTTCCGTAGGTTAAATTTAAGACATTTTAAGACCATTAGGAATGACATTTAAGACCAAACTGACGTATTAACAGAAACATTTAAATGGTCCCAGAAATTTTAACATAGAAACCTTTTCATACTATCAATTTAACTATTAAAGAATATTTCATTTTAACACCAGGACACTAAATTATTTTAATGAAACGGTCATATCTATGAGACCTTCATATTGACTGCTGTGGATCGCTTCCAACCAAATGCAAAAATCACTGATGAAGTCAAGTCTCCCTGAAAACACTTTCCCATGTTTAAAAGACAAGCAGTGAACATGACTGACCTTTGTTTTTGGGTGGGTGAAGAAGCCGCCGTATGGGGGAAAGGCGGCGGGGGTGTACTGATAGCAAACTTAGCACCTCATGAAGACAGATTGCGTCAACTTCTGATTACTTTGCTTTACTGTGTTTATTTACACAGCCAACTAGAGGTGTAGGAAAATATCAATAAACCGATGTATATACAGTATCTCGATATTTAATTTCCCGATACTGTATCAATTTTCTAAAGGCCTGCATCGATTTTTTATTAAGGTTTAAAATGTCAACTTTCCTGCCAGCCGTTCATTTTAATGTTGTAGTTCAACCTCTGACCACTAGTTGGCAGCAGTGAGCCAGCCATTTGGCTCCTCTACTCCTAAGGAGCCAGAGAGTAAGGGTAGCATTAGCATTGTGAGTAAACATTAGCTTCATGCACCGATAGCTGAATCTAAGCAGAAAGGATCGACACTCTCTGCCTTCTAAGCTGAGGTAAGGTTACAAATAGGGGTGTCCCGATACCGATATCGGTATCGGGTCCGATACCAGCATCAAGTACTCATAATCGTACTCGTAAAAGCCGGACGATACTCTTAACCGAAACCGCTTTTGTCTCCTCCTGTGCTGCGCTGCAGCACAAAGGGTAAACAACAATCCATACCAGGCGGTGGTGCTAATGCACTGACAAGTTATTTCCAACCGCACCCCCGAATAACAGAAGAAGAACGATGAGAAGAAGAAGATGTAACATGTCGGCAGTTTGGAGATATTTTAAGATCAACACGGAGGTAACAAACAAGCAGACTGTCTGCTGTGCTCTGCTAAACTGTCAGGGGGAGGAGTGAAAGTTGGATGTTTTAACAGCAGCAATTTGATTCAACATTTGAGGACAAGACATGACAAAGAATTCAAAGAGTTTGCTGCTGCTAGCAGTAGCCTTCATAAACAGCACTATGCTGCAGTTGTTGCAGTAACTTCAATGCTGTTGTAGGGGTCACCTCGAGTGAAAAAACAGGAGTTACTGCCTCAAAGCAGGTCTCGCACGGGCCTGAGAG